CTAGTGGACTTGGAATCGTTGTAGAAGTTACGTACAAATTCAAGAAATTGAGTTCGTGAAACTTCGCTAAAAATCATCGCGAAACGCATACGTGCGGCAAACTTTATAGAAGTTTTGTGAATTTCGTATCATTTTAATGAAGTTTGCTTTCTAAAGAATTTGTTTATTTTAAAAATCTTGAAATCCTACAATCTTGATGTGTTTTGTATCCCTTATACAGTCTGAAAATACAAAACATCAAGTACCAGTTATGAGAGACAAATCTGTTTTCGGCTGGAAATTTCCGTAATGAATTAACCAAGGGAAATGTCGGCTTCGGCAATACCTTAACGTATTCTCGTCAGCGGGGTAAACAAAGTCCTAGAGCACTCAAATTTGGCCAAAAGATGCTCTAAAACACAATGTATCCACATGCCAAAATTAAGCTCTCAAGGACCTTGTTTACCCCCCTGACGAGGTTAAGGTATTGCTGAAGCAAACATTTCCCCTATCAAAAATCCCTAGAATTTGATTTTTTTTTGTCTGAGATTACGAAAACCTTTATCTGGACATTGGACATAACACAGAACTTTTACTGGAAGTTTAGTCGAATGGCATGCAATAATCTGTATTTCTATAAGTATGCTTTTCAAATATAAAAATATCAAGTTGACTCTTCGACTCACAAACTTTAATCAACCCCTTTGTTGGTTTTCTAAAATGGCTTGTTTATCGATTTGACGAAAAATATATTGAATTAACCTTCATATCTGTAACCATGTGATATGATTAATTAAACAAATAGAAAGGGAAACTAAAATCCCTTATAACGAGAAATCAGAACATCTGAACATCAGAAGTCCATTCGAAAGATTCCAAGGCAATTCGCAGCTAAAATAATAATATTCATTTAGTGAAAAATCTATTTGGATTTAATGATCAGATTGAATTCAAGTTGCTTAGAAGGGAAAAAATGATTATTTATCGTAAATAATAAATATAAAAAAAATAAATGTAATCTATTTATGCATTTATTTGAAAAATCTGTATATTTTTCAAAAATCTGTAATCTGCATATACAGATATCTGTATCAAAATATTGAAAATAATCTGTATCATTACAGATAAATCTGTATATGTGGCATCACTGACTACCTATCGTGCAAAGTAAACAAACATTACGATGCTATGAAAGGTCCACGAAAGGTATTGCAATAAAATATAAAATATAATCGAAGAAATGATCATAATCCTGCACTGAACATTAAATTGTCATGGGATACGTTTGGTAATGACCAGTAATGAGAATTTGTACTATTTTTTGATAAGATAATTTAACAAAATCACTGATATAATGATTTACTACAGCCGCTCTTTTTTTTTCTCGCTAGAAGTCATTTGAAGTTGATGTAGAAGTCCTCTGTTGCCGAGTGAAAAGAAAGGGAATCTTTTGAAAACCGTGATGCGAGTTCAACTGTTTTTCTCTTGGCGTGACTCATTATACACCGACTCTAGGCCCGTGATGTTGCCTACCGTCAAACGTATAGGTTTGAGGTGGGATTGATATGGGGTTGCCAGCCTTCTGCTATGATTCAATCAGTGGAGCTGTTTTTTTTGGTTGTGCATAAGTTTTCATTATTAGATTGACTCTAATCGCATTAAAACAATCAGCTCAATTAGTTAATATAAAACCAAGAAATACCAATGGGTGGACAGCAACTCCAACACGCTCTTCGGAAGTGGGTGATTTGTGTATTCTTAACCCTTTGTCTGTATCTTCAATATGACCCCAGGCAATTTTTGCAATCTTGATTATTCATCAAAATGATATTTTTCTTTGACATTTCTGCATGCTAAAGTATTTTTGATATACCTGTTAGTTGAGACATATTGCGAATTTTATTTAATACCCGTTTGAAAGGATTTTCGCAATGAACTTAGTTTTATCTTAGAGGTACAGACAAAGGGTTAATAATTCTGCACAAAAAAAAACTTCTGAATTTTACTGGTGATGTAAACATCCATGCATGTAAACTTCCTTTTCACGTAAACTAGCAGCTTGCAAGAAATGTTGCAAACAATGGTGGACAGTTGCATAGAATATAAGAAATATTGCATGACATGTCTCATAAATTTACACGATCTATAATGTAAACTTGTATGATATATGACGCTCCATTTATGTGTATCATAGTAACGTAAATTTACACTACTTTTTTTAGCTGTGTTGTAAATGATCCCTATCTCATAAGATTCATAAGATTGCGTTATGCTTTTTGGCCAAAAGAAATCGAAATGACTTTCATAAATCTATGTATCTTATGAAAAATAATGTAGACAAAAATAATGAAAAGGGGCACAGATAAGAATCGAACTATGGAAGGTGGCATTATGATACCAATGGTTTGATCAGTCGTCTATCAGCGGAAGGTAAAAGATGCTAAAGCCGTATAAGACCTACATCGTGTAAGACGATAATCTTTCATAAGTTGCTTAAAGAAAATTCCTACGAGCAGCAAGCGTGGTTTCCGAAATCGAAAACAATCGGCTACGGTGTTTGTCAAATGTCTGAAACACTCGGCTTTGGTGTTTGCCGAAGCATAATACACCGCTGTGTAAAAACTTATACAGGGGCACCGCCACCGGTGCCTTGTTCGGTACGTTTGGTGTTTGCTATACTGCCGCTCATGGCAGGTCCGGTCAATAGCTCAAATCAGCAAGCCGAGAAAAACGCTTTTTAAGTTAGCTTCGTAGCACTGCTTCTTATGTAATGGGACAACCCGTTTTTCTGTTTTTCCAAACTTTTTCAGAACAAAGTTGTTGAGTTCACGCAGTATAACTAACCTATGGGTGATTAGCTAACACTTCCATTGAAATACTTTGTTTTGACAAAAACGCAAATGGGACCGACTTGTGAGGAGCGGCAGTAAAAGAGTAGTTTTATTTTCGAATATGTGTCATCTTATTGAAGATTAAATAAATGGTTTTCGATTTTTGTAACAAAAATAAAAGTTAATTAAGTTTGATTGGAAGCAATAAAAACTCCGTGTGATTGTGCCGTGATAAGTAGTTGGTCAATTGGTCGTCTACCAAACCAAACTCATGTGAACAAAACCGAACTAATGTTCGCGGTACAACCACATGGAATTTTCATTGCTTCAACTCAACCTAATTAACTTACAATTTTTAAACCATTCCGACGTTGAAAACCTCCGAGAGCTTCTTGACCGGGATCATCACCTTCAGCAGTTCCTCTTCCAGATTGAGCAGTAAGGTGTAGTGTTTATGAATCGTTTCCGTCGGATTGATCAGCAACGTTCGGACGACATTGGAGTAGTAGGACTTGTAACGCGCACTCAGAACACAGATGATCGATCCAAAGTGCAGATAGTTCTTGTCGCTGAATGCACTGAACTTCAATCTGTAATTGCCACCCAACTGGATAATCGACGGGTACACATGTCCAACTAGTTGGTATCCACACCGGAGACGTATCTTTTGTCCGTCAGAGTTTGCTCGACACCCTCCGACAGTTTGGCATGTTTTACTTTCTTAAAAGCATCGATAATCTCCATGATGTGATCCTTGAGGTACTTGTTGAATACGTCTACTGTCTGATGGTGATTACCTCGGAGTCCTCCTTGGAGCACATGATGTACGCGATCGGGACGCTGATGTCCACCGTGACACGAAGCTTTTGTCTTTAAAGAAGGCTTGCCACGATTCACAGAATTTGCCTGGGAAGTTTTCCTTGGAGAAGACGCTCAACGTTTTGCCATCCTTGGATCCCATGATCGCCTCCAGCAGCTTTTCAAAATTGGCCTTGTATTTGTCGTTATTATCCCGAACCAAGAGCTTCACCGACGGAATGCCCTCCTCACCGTCCTTCTCGATCTGCTTCAGGAAATCGACCTTCTTCTTGCTGGTCAGGAAAGAGATTGACTTTTCGACTTCCAGTTGGCGTAGAAGCATTTTATTCGTTGGTAGAAGGAATCCTTATCGATCACGATGTTCGACTTTTTTCGGGGCAGTTGCAATTGCAAACCTAAACATTCAAGCTGACAGAAATACCGGAATTCCAATGCCAAATATACCATACTATTCGTATTTAAAAAAAAAATCGTAGCTTGCTCTATGCCCGGCACTGCCGCAACAATTGGCACACCAGCCGTACACTTGCGGCACACTGAGATAAATGGTGATCCAAGATTGGTCTACAGAGTGACCTACCCCTTGATACTTTCACATGTGTTATGTATTTTTACATACCTTTGTTACTGTAGAACATAAAAAGTACAGCCTACTGAAGGAAAAAGGTACCAGTAAACGTCAGAAAACTTCGTTTGTTCATCAAAAAGTCTTATATTTGTTGCTTTCAAAATAAGATCGTGAAAGCCCCACCGAACGAAAAGTTTGTTTTTATTTATTGTTTTGAAGTTTCATAAGTTCGGGGTCCACAAGGTGTTTCAGAATGATAAAAATATGTTGTTATTGTTTTCTGTATTCAGTATTGGCAAGACTCTTGAGGATTTCAAATAGAACTGGCTGTGGTCCCTCTTTCCCCGCCGGACGTTCTTACCTCGTCTTCCCCTATGCGTCGTATCTGTTCCGAAAAAAAAACCCATTCCAGGGTATTTACAGTCTACACGTCGTCCCCGATCTGAAAATACCTATATTGAAGGGTATTTTACAGTTTTTCTGAAACCAATGGTTGCCGTCTTGGAATCCAAAATGGCGTCAGACATCGATTATTGGCATCTACACGTCGTCCCAGTTCCGAAAATATCCATATTGTATTGTAAAAAAACCTTGTTTTTGGGCCGTCCATTTTGTTTAATCCAAAATAGCACTTATTTACCTTTGAAAGTGAAACCTCTAGTATGAACATACCTGTAAGAGAAATAAACAAATTCAAGGATTAGTTCAAATAGTTTCCCATAATGGAAGTCCCTGGTTAAAATCCCATCCCATCCTAGGAAGTGAAATCTATCTGAAGACAATTTGTTTCATCTATTTCACAGAAAACACAGCACCAAATCGGACGACATGAACAACGCCATCCAAAAACTACTGATCATTGCAAGCCTTCTGGTGGTGGTGCTCGCAGCGCTGAACGAAGCCAAGGTCTTCACCAAATGTGACCTGGCCAAGGAACTGGGCAAGAATGGCATTTCGCGAACATTCTTCGGCAACTGGATTTGCTTGGCCAACGCGGAAAGTGGCATGGATACCGCCAAGGTGACGCAGCTTCCCAATCTTTCCGCCAGCTACGGGATCTTCCAAATCAACAGCAAGGAATGGTGCCGAGCCGGTCGAAAGGGTGGAAAGTGTAATATGAAGTGTGAAGGTAGGGTGCACGAATTGAGCCATAGTAAAATTATTCAAATATTGATCATGACTTTATTGCTTTGTAGATTTCCTGGACGACATCATTACCAACGACATCGAATGCGTCAAGAAGATTCAGATGCAGTACGGATTCAACGGCTGGTCCGTTTGGGTGAAAAAGTGCAAAGGCAAAGATCTGCCCAACATTTCCAACTGTAATATTTAGAAACATAGATCGTAACGCTACACCACTTGCTTCAAAAACAGAATGTGATATACTAACGGTTTCAAAATTGCATTTAAATTTCAAGTACAACTGGAATCAGGAGAATAAACACAAGACTTAAATTTCCCAACATCAGCTGTTCAATCAGACCGAGAAAGAAACGGTTCCTCGCCTAGGCCAAATGCCGCTCGGACAAGTCTCTCCTTTTGCGGTAGCCGCAAAAGTGCAACAACATAAAAGTACAAACCCATATGCTTGGTTGCATCGAGCTTTACGACTTTGCCCAACAACTACCGACCGTCGACGCGCCGTGAACCTTTTACTTTTGTTTACTCCCTTTTAAAGACCACCGACCGGAGCCAAAGTTGGAGATGAACGAGTTACGTTTGTCCAAAGACGATCGTATCGATCGGGTCAGGTTTCTTCCAATTGAAGAAATGCTCAGCTACCGAGAGCACTGCTCTGTCTCCTTCGCTTTGCTGGATCGAAACAATTAGGCAGTTCGTACACGTGAGCTGTGGGAGCCCCCTTGTCCCTTCTCACAGCAGTGGTCAGTGGATACCTACGTAGAATTTAAATTGTCTGCGGTAGACCACAAACGCCTTCCCCAGCTCGCGCACAGTTTAACCGTTTTCGGGGGTGTCGAACCCGTAGCCAGCCAGCGCCAGAAGGGGTTCACCGTTTATGACCATTTTCGGGAAATGAAATCAACAAGTGACGAAACTGTAACGTGAAACCTTTGCCAGTGAGAAGATTCATTTTCAACTCTTGTTGTTGACACTTTCAGTGGGCGAAATAGGTTTGTTACGAAACCGATCCACGTCGCGCAAGTTTCACGGTTCTGTGGTTTTACTCTGATGTCGATGTTTGGCTTACGTCAATTGAGAACATTTTTCCTCTTGTGTATAGAAAATGCAACGAGTAATGTGCGTGTGTTTGTAAGCAAACTGTGCTATCTTGAATGTTGATGGTTCTTTTCAGAAATGAAACAAGCTGATAAACACACATGCGAGTCTTCCGGCGATTTGCCGCCTTGTTTCCCATAGTGAATCATTAAACAGCGTGTTATCTTCATTCATGCTTAGAGCTGTAAAATTGTTCCCATTCTACTGAACTATAGACACTCACACGCGCACAGACGTTGAAGTATTGCAAACATCCGGCGCATACCTAATTATTGAGTAACGATCTCTCCCGCGCACACAAAGCGTGATCCAGATTGGTACCTACCGGCCGTTTGTCATGTTTTGAGCTGATTTAATTGCTCCCATCCGAATGCGAGTGGCACTTAATTACCAGCGAGTTGATGTCGAACAAATTAGCATGTGAATCGATTGCCATTGTTATGAATGGATCGGGAGTAGGTTATGTTTCTGACTGGAAATTGTGGAGAGGGGCACTAGGAATTTTATGCGATTTTTCTATGAATGAATGTGGGCTCTGGAGATGGAATCGAAGAAAAAGTACCGACTTCTACTTCGACTCCGACAATTATGAACAATTAATTTGAAACTAAATTAATCTTAATTTGGTCCACGTTCCATTTTTGTTTTGGCTCATGACCAATTCGATTGAATTTGGGCGCGCAGTAGGCTCTGCCCGAGAACTGTTGGTTTTAAATTTCCTGTCACAAATTTTGTGTTTTCCGCGTGCTTTTTGGCTTGTTTTAATGTAAAAAGTAATTCGTTTTCATTAATGTGAATAAATGAAGATTCTGATTGTGAATACTTCCGGAGTACAAATAGAATTGTTGCTGTAGCGTCGTGCTGCGCTTCGGTGGGTTTTTATTTTCGCGTGTTCGGTGCTACGCCTCCGCTACGTTTTTGGTGTTGGCGTTCTGCCCCTCCAATTCAATAACCCGGATATAAAGAGATGGGATTGTCATTATTCAATTGATAACGGTTACAATATTCAAAAAGAGATACGAAAAACATCGAAAAGTGATAGAGAAAGAGAGAGAAGAGTATTCCACTACAGATGCCTATTATTCAACAGGACTCAACGAGAATCAAGATGACAAAGATTCAGCAGCAAAGACACAATACATAAGCGGTGAGATCTAACTGATTACAACTAGATATAAAAATATGAAATGCATCCTACTAAATACGTGCAGGAATTGCGTTGATGCTGGAAGTGTACACGCAGTACAAATATACATTTTATATCGGTACTACGTGTATGCGGGGCTTGTTGTAAGTGAAAGTAACCTCGGAATGGACGTGATTGACCAGTAGACTGATGCAAAATTTGACTTTTTGGCTCCACAGTGCTTAAATGGTTTCAAATCAGGTCCTGATTAGCCTCCCAAAGTTACAACTCATTTGGTTAGAAACAGACTTCGCACAAGCCATTTGAAGTTTACATGTAAATTACTATGGGAAATCAACTTTTTGTTCGTTTCCTTCTAGTCCTTTTTCCATATTGAGCTGCGAAACAATTTGATAGCCATTCTACAACTTTGCTGAATACCGTTTCTATGTAAAACGAGACAGGAAAAAGTTATTAATTATTTAAGAGATTGTTAAACTTATGACATGATCAAGCAGCTGCTCTGTAGGCAACACTGTATTTTGCAGTGTGACATAGTAGCCATGATTTGTGTGTTCTATCCAGAAACACCAATGTTGCCTGCTGAGCAGTTGATTGAGCATGATCATAAGACATCAGCGCATTGAACCATTGATAACTTTCGATCCTTGTATTTAATCAAAAAGTGGTCTTCAGCAAAGTTGTAGCTGGCTTCCTACATGTACAGTTGAAAGCTTTTAAAGCAGACCGATAAGGTGAATTATTAGATAGATATGAACAAAAATCTTGGTTTTACCATAGTAATTCCCATACAAACTTTAAATGGTTTTTGCCATCTCAGTTTCTCACCAAATGGGTTCAAATTTTGTGAGGTTAGTCAGGATCCAATTTGCAATCGTTTAAGTATTGTGGAGCGAAAATATCAAATTTTGCATCATTGCATATTGACCAGGCATTCTGAAATATGTTACTGAATCTCAACAGAGCTATCACCTTCCAACTTTCGGGATAAATTGTTTGCAATGGGATCAGTATAAGATAATAAAAGATTATATTGCAAACATTTTTTTTTCATAAAACACTGCCGGTCAGTGGAAGTTGGATTGTATATACATACATACATTCATGACCAATTCGACTGAATTTGAATACCTATCATGAAAACATGAACCTAGCTATATTGCATTGATAAGTGATGATGTTGATCTAATGCTGGAATGAAATGCTTTCAAAGTTTTTATTTTCAATTTCAAGTTTCACGTTGGCATGAATTATTACTATTCAACGTGTGCGATTCGATACAGAGCTGCATAAAACTGTCAATCCACTTTTATTGAAGGATGACGAGCGAGTGGAGTAGTTGTTAGCAGATAGGCGCTAAGATGACTAAGTCGATGACTAAGAGACGGCTGATTTGCTTGAAAATACGAATGTAGTGATACTGACTGAAGAGTTTAGGGAAAAAATTGGGATTTCGAGCGTCTAAGATTAATCGAGATGCTTTTGGCAGTATATAAGCATTTTAAATGCATATCTGTTGTCAACCAGTATTCAAAAAGCTATGCAAATACTCATTGCACAATAGCCGCAAATAAGCTTCTCTTTTGTAGTTGTTGATTACTACTCTGCTCCCCACTGTTCTTTCGATCTGTTTTGAGGTTGCCAGCAACTGCGTCAAATTTGAACGATTTTCGTTACGATCTGGAATAGTGGGAAACGGACTAAAACCCTACCTCTATGCTAAAATTATTCAATTTTTGATTAGTTATTACTTTCGTCGGTTTCCCGCAAATTCAGATCATAACCAGATTCACTCAAATTTGGCACAGTGGCTGGGGACCTCGAAGCAAATAGAAAGAGCAGTGAGAGCAGAGAGTTGTAAAGTTTACCCACTCTAGTCCATATACCTACAATGATTTGCTCGATAATATGCAGACTTCGCTTGACAACCTGACTTCCATTCCTCGAGTAGGTATCGTCCACCCACCTTCAATACATTCAGCACACGAGATGCTTGTGATGCATTGGGTTCCTTTGAAGATCGATGACTATGCTAAAACCGCCTCGGATGATGGCTATTGGCTTTGACGATTACTCTTTAACTCTTTACTGTTATGGTAAAATCCCATAAGCAGTTGTCAGTCTATGCGTGAAACATGGCGGACTTTGTCTTATCTCTTTACTACACATAAAAATCTCATAAGGGGCAGTTCAAGAACTACGTAGACCGGTCCGAGTTTCCAATTGTTATATTCCATGAAACTTTTTGGATATGTTTCGGTGCTAAGAATATTGTTCTAGAAATTGTATATCAGGTACTTCATTTTATTCCAACTCTAAGATGATTTGGAAAACCTATATCATCTTATGAAATTGAGTTGAAGGGTCAATAATTTTAATTAATTTAATAAATAAATAAACCCTGATATTGATCATAAACGATGCACATATACTCCGTAAATATGCTTAGGTATGATTAATTAGCTAAATACATTGTCCAATATTTATAGATCTAAATTCACGACGCTCTTGCAATATTTGGATGTTGATGAGCATACTTCGAGCTTTATAAGATGGTAAAGGAAGTACAGTCCAACCGAACTTGCGGAGTGCATATAATAAAAATTGCTTTTGTAATGACTCTATTCTGCTATCCCATTCTACCCAGTATCAAAGGTCTCCCCAAAGTCCACAAACCGGGGAATGAAATGCGAGAGATCGTGTCTGCAGTTGGTTCCCCCACCACAAACAAGTTGCTAGTCACAGAGTTCCAGCGTATGCCAAATCAGTTCCAGAGTAAAGCAGTTAGTAACACGCAGGAGTTCGCCCAGCAACTACAATCTTCAGGAGACATCATCGAGGACGAGATTATGGTATCTTTCGACGTCACAGCTCTTTTTCCCAGCGTACCGGTCAAGGAAATGATCAACCATTTGCAGGACTGGCTATTAACACAACGAGAGGATGCAGCATGGAGAAACAAGGTTCGGACGTACCTTAAGCTGACCCACTTTTGTATGGAAGAGAACTACTTCTCTTTTCTAGGA